ATAAACTGGGATATATGTTTACCATGGAATGCTATTCATTCACAAAAAGATGGAGACTTTATATCTTTTGCATCAACCTGGATAGAGTTGGAGAACATTCTACTTAGTAAACTATCACAACACGGAAAAGCGAGTATCCAATGTACTCAATACTAACAGTATTGACAAAGAAATGTGAAACCAGTAGACAAATACATGCCCACACGAGAGAAAAACACAGTTAAACTCAAGTGGGAGGGAGGAGGGAGAGAGAAGGAGAAGGATTCGTGTGCTCTCACCTGATAGGCACCATGTAAGGCAGTGATTTTCAATTGGTGTGCCTAAAAAATTTTTAAAGATCATTAATTAATTTCAAAAGAAATTCAAAGCATAGTAAATATTTTCATATTCATTTTTTTAGTCTTTTTTGATCAGCATAGTTAAGTGTGCCAGAGTAGTTGAAGTATAGGTTCAAGTGTGCTGTGAGATAAAAAAGGTTGAAAACCACTGAAGCATAAGGGTATATGGCACATTCTCGGGAGAGGGGCACAGCTACAACCCGTACTGTACCTAAAAATGCAAACAATGTAACCTGATCATCTGTACCTTCAGATTAGTCTAAAATTAAAAGAAAACCATTGTGTGTTATTTACATTTGGCAGGATTGGTATTATGTAATTTTAGAACTTGCCAGGTAGGTTTTAGTAGTCTTGTATTAATGAAATCAGAAGTTGTGGGAATTCAGGCTTGGGCATCGTGGCTCATGCCTATAATCCTAGTACTCTGAGAAGCTGAGGTGGGAGGATCACTTGATGTCAGGAGTTTGGAGCAGCTTGAGCAAGAGTGAGACCCCGTCTCTACTAAAAACAGAAAAATTAGCTGGGTGTTGTAGTGGGCACCTGTAGTCCTAGCTACTCATGAGGCTGAGGCAGCAGGACCACTTGAGCCCAGGAGTTTGAGGTTGCAGTGAGCTAGGCTGTGGCCATCGCACTCTAAAAAGCCGGGTGTGGTGGCTCACGTTTATAATCCTAGCACTTGGGAGGCTGAGGCGGGTGGATTGCTTGAGCTCATGAGTTCAAGACCAACCTGAGCAAGAGCGAGACCGCGTCTCTAAAAAATAGCCAGGCACTGTGGCAGGTGCCTATAGTCCCAGCTACCTGGGAGGGTGAGGCAAGAGAATCACTTGAACCCAAGAGTTTGAGGTTGCTGTGAGCTAAGATGCCACAGCACTCTACTGGGTGACCAAGTGAGACTCTGCCTCAAAATAAATAAATAAATAAATAAATAATAAGATTCCTTGGTTGGAATTTCAGCCCTTGAGTGAATCCTTAAGCTCTCTGAACCTTCCTTCTCTCATCTTTCAATTCAGATAAAACCTCAGAGAATTTGTAATTAAACTCCTCTTAGCCTACAGGGTCCTACCCACTTGTCCACCCTCAGTCTGTCCTGCTCTGTGCCTTGTTGGTAGGTTTTGGAACACGTCCCACTGTTCCTTGCCCCGGTGCTTCTGAATTTGCGCCTCACTCATTCTGCCTGGGGTCCCTTCTTTCATTCCATGGCTGCCTTTTTAATCTTTCAGGTTTCAGCTTTGAATATTACCTCTTGAGACTGACCTGACAGTCTCTTCCCCAACACCCATACGCTGTTGCAGTACTTGTTTATTTCCATAACTTATTCCTATTTGTAATTCTTATTTGTTGCTTTATGTCTCTCATTCAAATACAAGTACCCTGAAGAAAGTACCCTGTGCTTTTGTTCTAGGTCAGTAGCTGGTGCCTGGCCTTAGTCTCTGGCACTTAGTGAGTATGTAATAATGCTTGATGAATTAAGAGAGATGCATGGCAGAGGGCTTTGCACAAACAGACCTGATAAATAAATGCCCCAGAGTTCATTCTCTTATTTCCTCAGTTACTCACAGGGGGTTGTGCCAGGGCATCAGAGGAATCCAGTTCCTGCAGAGTCACCATTACTTCTGCTCTCCCCCTTTCCATCTGGGTAAAGGACAAGGCAGCTCTAGGTGTGGTCCTGGGGAAGTCAGCAGTAGGAGGGGATGAGCTCATAGAGGAAGGTGGCAGGATCTCGACTGTACCGTGATGGGAGGGACCAGTAGTGATTATAGAATTTGGAGTACATTGTCCTATGAGATAGATTGCATTTTAGTGATCATGTTAATGGTGAATTCCTTTTTTATATCCTGCTCGATTCAACAGGGATAGTTGTAAAGATACTGAGTTTTGCTACCATTTTACGCTTTCATCATTCATATCAAGTCATGCCTCCTAACACGTCTAAGTGTGGGTGTGGGGGAGGGAGAAGAGAAGAAGAGAAAAAACTTTATCTGAGGAATGTGAGCCTGTTTAAATGATCAGTCCCAGAGAGACACTGGAGTGACACAGCAGCCATAAAACGTCATCCACTGGATGTCACAGCTCATACCCTGTAGTTCAGCAGTGCCTGGCTGATCAGTGTTATCTCTGGACTAACGGGAATCTCTGTCCAACAACTTTGTACTACCTCTCAGCACCCTTCTCGTTCCCATTCCCTTTAAAAACCTGCTTATAACAAAGGCAACTTGGAAGCGCCCCAGGTAGCTGCCCTCATTTTGGCTTCAGAAACTCTTTATATTTTGTGCCTCAGCCTCTTTCTTTTAGGCCAATGTAACAGAAAAAATATAAATGGAAACAGCCTGTAAGTTCAGTGTTTTTCCTCTCGTACTAGAGTTAAGATTTGTTAACGTCTTATTTTTAGGAAAGATGTGGATGAAGTTAAAGAGAAATCTAAAGATATAATAAAATTCACTGAGGAGAAACTTTCCGTGGACGAAGTCTCCCAGTTGGTGGTTTCCCCTCTCTGTGGTGCAGTGTCCTTGTTTGTAGGTGAGTTGTAATTTTCACAGCATCTGTCTATCGATTGCACGAGATGGTAGAAATTAGCAAGTGTGTTCCTTGTTCAGTGTTCATAGAGGATTTAAGATACTGAGCAGTAAATCAAGATTACCTATGGTAGTAGATGGAAATTTTTTGAGTTCTTGTTTGTTTTAGTAAACTTCAGTTAAACTGTATTCAATTACAAGCAGTTTTTGGAAGGAGGGTAAGCATCATCGTTGGGAGAGAGAATTTTATAATTTCCAAACACTGAGGGAAGAATGAATGTACTTGATGGATGATAATCCTGGAGCACAAATGTTTTCCTTTTAAGTATCAAATACTGTACGAATGGATCAACAAACTGTGGTATATGTACACCATGGAATACTATGCAGCCATAAAGAAAGATGGAGACTTTACATCCTTCATGTTCACATGGATGGAGCTGGAAAATGTTCTTCTGAGCAAAGTATCACAAGAATGGAAGAAAAAGTATCCAATGTACACACCCCTATTATGAAACTCATTTATACCTTTTATATGAAAGCTATAACCTAATAACAGCCTAAGAATACGGGGAGGGGGGAGGGAGAGGGGAAGGGAGAATGGGTGGAGGGAGGGGGTTTGGAGGGATCACTTCTGTTGTTTATCTTACAAGGGTACAAGTGAATCTTTCTAAGAGTAGAATATGAACGTTTTAAAACAATAACTAAGAAACGACATGAAGGCTATGTTAACCAGTTTGATGGAAGTGTTTCGGATTGTGTGTGAAAACTCCACACTGTACCCCAGAAGTGCATTAATGTACATAGTTGCCATTCAATAAAAAAAAAAAGTATGAAACACTGTTAGATGAGGAAAATAGCCTGACTTGTCATATGAGTATTTTAAGTAAGCTTGCTTAATCGATGTTATTTTATTTCTGTCTCATCTTTGTGATAATTATCTTTTCTTTTCCTAGTAAGTTTTTTTTTTTTTTTTTAAGAAAATGTCAAGGCAATTTTAGACAAACTGGTATGCTATTTAGGAATAATCATCTTTTATTCTATTAATGTGCTATTTCTATTGTAGGGAAAAACTTTAATTTTCTTTTTTTTTTTTTGCTTTTTTTCTTTTTAGGAACTACAAGAAATAACTTTGAAGGGAAAAAAGTCATTAGCTTAGAATATGAAGCATATCTACCTATGGCAGAAAATGAAGTCAGAAAGATTTTCAGTGAAATTAGGCAGAAATGGCCGATCAAACACATAGCAGTATTCCATAGACTTGGGTATGGTTTTCTTTATCAATCTAAAAACTAAATACAGTTGTTTTTCTATCTTTGTACTAATCCTGACTCTTGAATCTTAAGAATTTGATTATCGTAAGAGGAAGGTTTGGAGGAAGCAGGGATGGCATTTAGTGCCTTTGGTGATTGCCTGTGCTTTGTAACCCTGGGGGAATCTTGTTGCCACTGGTGCTGTGACAAGGGGCACTTGTGCCTGGACTCTCAGGCCCTGGGCAGAGGGCCTGTGCTAATATGTCCTAAAGGCCTTAGGATGTTTTGAGAGTGTTTTGTGGCCAGTCTTTGAGAGTCTCTTACAGATTCTTTTTGTTGTAATTGCCTTGGAAAGTCATTCAAGTAGTTTTCCTTTTTGTACCACAAGAAAAAGGAAGAGTTCTAGGCTTCAAAAAGAAGCCAGCAGTTGAGACTATATGTATCATATTTTATTATCATTTTGTTATTAATAATTATAATTTTATTAATAAGTAGTTTTGTTAGTGGTTAATGTTATCAGTCCATTAATATCTATTAATTTAATTAATTAAATTTAATTTCTTGATATTACTTCTGTGTTATGCTTGTCAGGGAGTATCGTTGTGTCTCTCAGCCTTACCTAGCACTGTGCCTCGTTTGAGTCAGATGTTTGCTGGTTCAGTGAAAGGACCCTTTCTTCTTGGTACTCATCAGACAGGTTTAGTGGATAGAGGCTGACAAATTGGCCACAAAATCAGCTTCAGCATCTCCTCTGCTGAATGCCACTGGGATGAATTACTGTTTTCTAACTAAATGGAATGTTTAAGTAAAATAGAACTATGGTACAGTTCTAAGAATCTGTAACTGGATTCCCTCCCACCCCTGGTGTCTAGCAGATTCTTTAGCAGGAGGACTCAGAAGTGACAGTACATGTTTTTCCTTTCCTTGTCAAAGCTTGGTCCCAGTGTCAGAAGCAAGCATCATCATTGCTGTGTCCTCAGCCCACAGGGCTGCATCCCTTGCAGCTGTGAATTATGCCATTGATCATTTAAAAGCCAAGGTGCCCATATGGAAAAAGGTAAGTTAAGAAAATGTCTCATTTTTCCATGTGTACCTGACATTCTCAGGAATTCTTAGATAAAGGGTGTGGAATAAGAGTACATATAATGTTTGTATTCATTCCCTAATTATAGAATCTTAGTTTCTTTATCTGTCAAAGAGCTTTTATATAATCTCCTTTCCCGGGTTTGTTAAGCATGAAAAATAAATTCTCCAGGGAATACCTGGCACAGACTAAGCCTCAGTAAGTGGCAGCAGTGAGAATTCCTAGTCTGGACTGATCAGTAGTTCATATAGGAGGGAAGGGCCCTTGAATTAGAATTCCTTTAAGTTAGAGGGTCTTTCATTAGGACAGTGGGAATAATGCCTCACTATTTAGGCAATGGTTGAAATAGAAATTTCTCAAGGTAAAAAAGCCCTTTTTACTAGAGATCCTTCTTTTTAGGGAAGAAAAGGGTGTGATATTGCCATCTCTGAGAAGATGCATAGTGAGCAGATTTAAAAGCATACACAGGAAATTCCAGTTTGTTTTCAGTCCATAAGTTAAACCAGTCAGTAAGGGGAAGTAGTTCTCTGGTTACATAGAGCCTCCTGAGGGATGGGAAGGCCAGCTCCCTAACTTCTCCCCAGTCACAGTGGGACTGTTGGGTGCCTGTGCACATACGTAGTCACACTTCAGTGTCTACAGTTGCCCACAGCACTGTGGCTGATGGCAAAGATGAGGATTTAATGAGTAGCTTAGGCGGTCAGAAGACTGGAGCAGAGAGTCGGGGCTTCTAGAGGGGAAGGCTCCTGTCCTTCTCAGGAGCCTCGGTCACTAGTAGAGATTGGCAAGTCAGACTCTGAGTCACAGCCTTGGACAGAGAGTCAGGGCTTCTAGAGGGGGAGGCTCCTCTCCTCAGGAGCCTCGGTCAGTAGTAGAGACGGGCAAGTTGGACTCTGAGTCACAGCCTTGGACAGTTTGTGACCATATTTTCTGAATAAAACCTGAAACCATTTGCTATAGGGGAGTATTTTGGGATCAGGGGATAGAATTATGTCAAAAGCAACAGTAAAGCTCTGCGGTTGCTTCGCTATGAATGAGGCTGCTACAGTTTTGATAGAATATGAGGCAGGCTGTGGAAGAGGGAGAGGTAGAGAAGAGCATTCCCAGATGAGCTTCAAGCTGGAGTAGGAATAGCTTTCTTTACTAAGGAGGAAGAGTGGGTGTTAAGCTGATCATAAGTGGATGAGCCAGAGCCCCAGAAAATAAGGGTAGGGCACAGGAGTTGGGCATGTCCTTGTTTTTCTGCTTTGACGACTAGCTAGCTGTGCCTTTGCTTTTCTGTGTTTGTAGAGATTTGGGGGAAGCGCAGAGAACAGTTGAATTTGGATTCCTCTCCCTGCAGAAATGGAACCTGACTAGAGAGTGGGAAGAGAAAGTGACACCTTCTTCTTTCCTCCTTTCCACAAATCGTAGATTCTAGTGTAGGTCTAGTTCTCGCCTGTGCTTTGAGATCATCTGCGATATAGGGAAGGAGAGGGTGGTGGGTAGGCAGGGCTCATACTTCACAGAGCAGTGCACACCAGAGTACGATTCTCACTGGTTTGAGAATTTCTCTGCAGGTGGTCACTTAATTTCATGGCTAATAGAAATAGCCCACCTGCCTTTTTTAGAAAAGCATATTTAGAAATATTTAAAGACCTTCCATCTTTCCCTATATAACCTTGCCCATGATGTCTCCTGTTATGGCTCAAAATGGAATGAAGTGATTATTCCTTTTCTGTTGGTGCAACTCATCTTGTTATAGCTTCTTGGCTGTCATTTCTGCATTTGGATTGAGAGTCCAATTGAGAGCACAGGGAAGGTGTCTATTCATTTTTCTGCTTGTTGATTGGATGGTTAAAGAGGAGCAGATTGAAATAGATGTTGACTGAAGAAAAAATTAAGCTAAAGAATTAACATTAATTTTTTCAGATGTCATACTGAGGACTATAGGCAGAGGCCTTGCTTACATACAGGTGGTGGGGTTTAGGATGAGGAAAATCACATTAGTTAAGCTTGCTCAGAAGCTGTATTAATTAAAGCAGAATCACATCAAGATTTGGGTGTATCTACCCCCAGTCTTATAATCTGGTTATAGATTACAGAAGCATACTCACTAGCTCCATCAGACATCGTCTTATGTGCAAGGAAAGGCAAAGAGTAGGGTCATTTTTCTTTTAAGGAATTTAGCAAGTGAGACAAGAGATGAAGGGGGCCACGTGCTCTGTCCTGTTTTGTCTTCAAAGCATTGCTGTCACAGAATCAGGGGCCTTGTGACGCAGTGCAGTGAGCAGAAATGAGCAGACATGGCTTCGTTTGCTAGTCTGTTTCCGTGTTATGCTAATGTATCTGACTTAATTCAAATGTATTTTATTTTCATGTATTAAAATGATCTATTTATATTACCTGTTGTGATTCTGTTTTCTAGGAAATGTATGAAGAGTCATCATCATCTTGGAAAAGAAACAAAGAATGCTTTTGGGCACCCAACGATTAACCACTTATATTTTTAGAGCGCTTAATCTTAAATGCGGTGAACTTTAATCATTGATCACTGATGACTGATCATCATTTTTATTTTTGTTCTCCACAAATCACGCTAATTTACTGAAGTCTCTTCAGTAAATGTTTGTATGTAAATCTTATGTACGTAAGAGATACATAAGTATCTCTTGTGTTATACCAGTGGGATAAAAGGGAAAGAAAGAGAGAGAGCAAAATGCATGAGGATGGAGAAGGAGGAGTGATTTAGGAACTAGGGATAGAGGAAGGACTTTAGGGAAGAGATGGGATAATTTAAACGTGAAGAACAATGTCTTTGATTGACAAACCCATCCATCACTAATGTCTCTTCGTAACTCAACTCACATTGAGTGTGGACCCCTCTCAGTGACTTTAATTGTCTTAGAAAGTGCCTCCCCACCCTGGCCTCAGTCCACTGATAACATTGTTATCAGGGAGGCATTAGGGGAATGTTGGCAGAACTGGAAAAAGTATAAAAAAATCATTGTCAGTCTCAATCTTATAGATTTTATGAACTTATATATATATATATTTTTAAATAAACCCATGATTTAAAAAGTTTAAAAACAGCATTTTCCTGTATTTTTAAATTTAGTGATAATACCTAAATTATTTCCTGATAAGAAATATGGAAATTCCTAGTACTTTAGAATCCATAATCTTACCATAAAACTGTTTGTATCTTATTGCTTAGTAATTATGTATCCATATGCAAATCAGCATAAAATCGTAAAACTAATGTGGTGGTTTGTAGCTGAGTTTTGAAATTTAACTCATAACCATTTTTGTAAGTTATATTAAAGAAACTAATGAAGGAAACTGAATGTGGTTATTTATTTATTTATTTATTTATTTTTGAGACGGAGCCTCAAGCTATCCCCCTGGGTACTGAATATGGTTATTAAAGCATGTTCAGATAGTTGTCTTTTTGGTTGATTATGCAGCATTATCCTTGGTGAAGTCATTAAGTTTTCTGAAATATTTTTATGCTAAACAGTGGTCCAATTTTTATTGGTTAACCTTTATGCTATCTTGGTAAACTTGAGTATAGAAGCCCCTCACTGGTTTTATTTGAAATTGTTTCCATCTTTTTTTGAGGTATACTTGACAAATAAAAATTGTATATATTTAGTGTATAAATGTGCTAATTGTGAATTGATTACCACAATTGAGCCAATTAACATATCCATTACGTTACATATTTTTCTTTACGCGTGATGAGAATACTTCAGATCTGTCTTTGCAAATTTCAGGTATACACACGAGATATTGGCGTAATTTGCACAGTGGCATCATCAAAAAATTTTCATTATGCGTATTAAGAATAAAAAGCATACTTTCAGACACTTAAATTGAAAGATTTTTTTGTTTCTGTGATAAATAAACCTAGTCATCATATTTGTTACATTTAGTGAAAACAGTTTTTAGCTAGGGAATTCATTTATTCAACATGTTTATTGAACACTGTGCCAGGCACCCACCCAGTGATTGTTATCTACCAGCCTTAAATACCTCGGGGAAGACTCTGCATCCTGCCTCTAGTTTGGACCTATGGGACATCCACATCAACTTTAGGAATCCCATGGTTACTTGGTGCCTATTCCTTGGCCATCCAGAGGGACTTGGCCACCAGCATATTGGGAAGGCAGACAACCCCCCCCCACCCCACACACACTTATTTCCCTTACTGAGTTAGGGTTACCTGTCAGGCTCACCCTTCCCCTCTCAATTCAGTGGCACCCTCTACCTTCTGCCAAGCTTCCCTGGGGAACAGGGCCTGGGTGTTGGTCAGTAAGTTGCCTTGTATTCTGAAAGCACATTATCGTGAGGATACTGGGCCACTGCAGACAGTTCTAGGATTATACATGCAGGTTCATTAGGGTGATGTTATATGTAATGTTAGTATGAAATAAATGTGGATTTCAAGATTTTCCTACTCAAATATTTCTTTCCTTTTTTTCAAATATTTCTTTAGAAGATCTTTATTTAGAGTTTTTAAAAGAATATAGAACATTCTTTAAAGATGTTTTTAAAGAACCATGCCTTCGTTAAGTAGACTTTATTCTAAGTTTGGAACTGAGACTACTATGCTTTTAGTTTTCAATACAGAGGTGAATGAGTTAATCTGGGGATGCAGGAACTGGGATGGAATGTCCCTGAAAGATTTTGGTGCACTGCACTAAAATAGTCTTCAGTGACCCTCCCTTTCTTAGAAGTGAGTGGCAGAAGTTAAATGTGGTTGAGATATTAAGGGCCTGGGATCACTGTGAAATGTAGCCTTTCTATCTCTCTAACTTAGCTATTGAAATAATTGAAGAGGAGCCAAACAAACAAAAAACCCTCTAAGCAGATTGCCTGTAGAGCTTCAAGGTCACTTTGAAGTTGTGACTTTATGTGACTGGTAGATAAATTCACTTGAGAAGTAAGAAATTAAAATTTCAAGTATTGGAACAAGTGGCAAACGGAAAAAGGATTTTATCATCTTCAAATGAAAGTAACAGCAGATGTTCAGTGAGTGAACTGTTCTGTGGCTATTTCCATCCTTCTGGAATGTTTACAGTTAATATATTTTCAGTATTTTTTTAGAAACTGTGATCAAGAGGTAGTAGTTTGAGGACTGGTCTCAGATCTCCAGATTAACCTATTGGAAAATTAGTGGATTCCCAGATATATCTTGAATCCAGCCACTTCTATAGTCCAAGGCTCCAATCCATTTCTCTTGGACTTTTGCCTTAGCCTGTGGACCAAGGTCATTCATCATACTACTCAGAGTCCCCTGATAGGTCACTGTATCCTAGAACCTCAAAGTCCTCACCATGGCCCGCAATCCTACACAGTGGGGTCCCTGCCTGCCCTCACCTCCTGTCTTGCTCCAGGCTCACATTTTCACCGTGGCTGGTATTGGACAGGCTTACTCTGATGACAGAGGCCCCCACTTGTCCCTTCTAGAGCTTTCCCTCAGCGATGTTCCCAGAGTCTGCTTCCTCACTTCATTTCAGTCTCTAATTAAATCTTACCTCCTCGGAGAGCCTTCTCTGACTACCCATTTAAAACTAAGAGTCCTCTCCCCTTTTTTTGCCTTATATTTTATTATGATACTTGATGTACTACTACAGCTGGTAGTTTATCACTAGACTATAAACTTCATGATATCAGGGATTTTTACTTTGTCAGTGCCTAACCAGTATGTGAGCTTTGAGGCTATTGGTGTTAAAACAGTATGTCCTAAATTAAAGTTGATACACGTAGTTGTAACACTTACAGATGTGAAAATGTATCTGGCTAAATGAATGTATGGCTCCAGCCCAACTTTTCCCCTTCACTTCCTTCCCCACCCTAGTCCTGTCACATCTTTCATAGCTACTGAGCATGTTAAGGTGGCAGTTATTTGTGTGATGTAGTTAGTTGTATCATCCAGTAGAGGGCGGTAGAAGCAGGGCTATACTAAGCAACGTTTCTGATTTTAATGGCATAAAACAAAAAAGTTCAGCTTAGCTATTTTCTTTAAGGCCAGAGTGGCCTGTAAATGAAACTTAGGCCCTAATTTGGGGTACCATGATGTCCAACCTTTAATTGGCATTTTAGTTTGAAATATTAAAGGGTTATGATGAGGGAGGTTCTTAAAAATGTGGTTTGTAGGTTTTAAGCAGGTGCTGTAGAATAAAAGAAAGGAATTAATGTTTAAAAAGTGAGTAAATATAAATATAAAATATGTCCCATTTAACTGTATGGGACAAAGTGGTAGCTTTAATACAGGTCTTTAACAGCATTTCCTAACTTTCTCTGTGGGAAAAAAAAAAAACAAACAACTAAGGCTTCTTATCTCAAACATGTTATTTAAGAAGTGGAGTCCTGTCCCCAGGCTAGCCTTGAACTCAAAGCCAGCGTGGGCTCCAGCCATCCTCCTGCTTCATCTCAATGAGTAGCTGGGACTACGGGCTTCCACCACTGCCCACCGCACCCAGCTCTCCAAGATTTTATTTTTATGTGAGATACACATCTGTACCCCAAACACACTTGTTGGTAGTTGTGCTGTGATAAGATGCCCTAACAAGGTGGTTTACCACAATAGAGACGGGCGGGGAGGTGGAGGGAGCGGAGCGCCCCTGATCCTGAGTGGGAGACGTTTCTGTGTGAAGGGCTGCACTTCCGCCCTTCCCACCCATCCTCTGCGTTCATCTGTCATCTGTACAGTGACGGCAGTCTGTGAGCCTGATGTGTATCGTACTCTATAATTTCAGCATATCTAATCTAATCTTTACATAAAAATACTTCAAGCTCAAGCTTACTACTAAAATAATAAAAAACTAGGCAGATGACTGTGGCTCTGAGTGTTGCAGCAGCTTGGCTGATGGTGTTCCCTCACTATTCCAAACATACATATAGTTTCCAAGGGTAAGTAGTGCTTCAGAGCCGTGCTTTTCAAACCTAAATGCATTATGAATTACCTGGGAACCTTGTTAAGCTTCCAGTTTGAATTTAGGAGTTCTGGGAGGCACCTGACATCTGAGCTCTGTACCCGGCGCCCAGGTGATGCAGCTGCCTATCCACGACCACACTTTGAGGAGGAAGGTTTAGGCCAAGTCTCTAAGCCACCGGCCATTTAAGCCTCCTACAAAAACATGCTTGTGGTCGCTGCTAGAAAGGAAACAGACTGAATCCACATGCCTAGTTATAGCCTCCTCTTGAGTCTTGAATGTGTTTTGAAGCAAGTGAGCACGTAACTACAGCAAATGTATAAGTTGTAAAAACCAAAGCCCCAAGAAAATAGCTTTATTTTCAAAACAATTTTAATGATACTCAATAATATGGCGTGGAAAAGAGTGGGTTACAAGTAAATAAACTTTTTCTGTTTGATCCTCATATTTTGGTTTGAGAAAGATCATTAGTTGATGTTAATACCTGCTCCAATTTGATTTTCATTTCTCGGAAATCAAATGATGTGTGCAACTTGATATAGAAACATGCATGTATTTATTTTTATAGTTTTGGTGAAGGAAAAACACATTTCATCAAAAACAGCAAATATATCACATCTTAAAGACTTCTGCAGTATCTCTGAAGGAAAATATTCAAGATCATTTCTTTAAAAAATATACAGTTCTAACATAATTGTACAGTATATACATTCATATTTTGACTTCACCTGCCAAAATAAATCAGGTACCTATGAAACTATATTTACATAATGGCTACATTTTCATTTTTCAAGTTCAAAGTAGTAGTTCAAATTTTCACTTATTACAAATTTTACCCCTGTGTTTATCTTTCCCCTCTAGATGTTTTAGCTTTCAAATTGATTAAAATGGGTATGCCTGAATATACAGCAAAGGCATAGTCCTAGAAAGTTGTACATGTAATCGTTTTATGTGAAAATTGAAATACTAAAGATGGATCTGGGATGTCAGTTGAAGGAATCCTGCCCTTCTGTTTAATGATGTCTTCATTTATGAGATGTTCATATATTGGGCGAATGCTATGTATCAGGATAGATAACTATATTATACTTCCTACCTCTCTTAAATTTGTAGTATTCATGAAATTATGTTGCTTTAGTTATCCTGACTCTTTACAGTTAATAGATAATTTCACCATTTTACAGAACTAACATTGCTAGCTAGAAAAAATTTCTGTCCAGTTCAGAGGTACTATTTTGCTGTTGAACTGAGTTATGTACAATTTTAAATCTCAACGCAGTTTCTTCATCAAACTGCTTTACTGTGTTACCATTTTCTAATGCTTGTGTGGCAGCTATGCGTGAAGCGATTCAGAGTTTTTATCTCATTCGTTAGATCTTGTCTGTACACCATTTATAAAATGGAAATTTTAACATGACATCTTGTACACCCTCTGTGCTACTTACTTTTAAAGCAAAAATATGAAAAGAACACATAACTTTTTCTTAAAAAGAATGTTTTTCCCCCTTAATCTCTTGGATGAATACTCACCTTTGCTTAAAAGTGCTTGAGAGATACTCCTCTCAAATGTCTGGAGATATTTTTTGATTGTCACCACTGCAGGGAGTGGATGCTACCTGGCTTCAGAGAGGCCGAGGCCAGGGGTGCTGTGGCACATCTTGGAAGGCACAGGACAGCCCTCCACCAGGAAGGGTCACCTGGCCCATAAATGAAATAGTGCCCAG